TATTATTATACGATCATGGGCTTTTTGTCCTCAGTAAATAAAAAAAAATTAAAAATACACGAAATAAATTATAAAAAAAACAAATTACCGAAATAGGTGATTTTGGACAAGTCAGCACACACGAAGTTTATGACACTACAAGAAATGTTACACATAGTGACATACAAAAAGTGTCACTATAAGTACAATATATGTAAGTATATATCTATTTGACATATAGTTACACACAATTTTAGTGTTGATTTTGAATGAGATTTAACAACATATTTTGTGTGTTACTATAGTCTATACCCACACTTTTTTATAATATACCAACAAATATTATGTGGATAAAAGTAATTTTTAGTGACATATATAGTGTCACTATAGGGTGTATGTCACTATATGGCAATTTTCTTGTAGTGTGAAATTGTAAAGAGTAAAAGTTGTTGTCAAGTTTATGAAACTAAAACGACTAAAAAACAAAAATGAAAATGGTATATATATAAATTAAAATAGAATGTTTTTAATAATATGAATTAAAAGATAAATTTCATAAAACTATAGGAACCAAACAAGTATTTAAATTTTTTTTAATGCTTGACAAGCTTATATGAGTTTAAGGGTGCACCATTTCATGACTATAGTTGGAGCTTTATGCAGGTTATCATTGGTCAAGCTGCTGTGCAGAGGTGCAATGCAACTGTCATCTTCCATGGTGAAGTGGAACCTTTCTATCCTCCAACTGTAAATAATGGTGACTTGCACAAGCTTTTTCAAAATGTTGCTGTAAATTTGCTTGGCACCGATAAGGTTAATGTTGACATGGCACCATTCATGGGAGCTGAAGACTTTTCATTCTATCAAGAGGTCATACCTGGCTACTTATTCATGCTTGGAATGGAGTATAATTCATCTGAACCGTTTCAGTCATTACACTCTCCCTATCTCAAAATCAATGAAGACGGACTTCCCTATGGTGCTGCACTGCATGCATCATTAGCTGCTACTTATCTTATAAACTATCAGCAGAATGTAACACAGTTAGGTTAATAATTATTAAAAGCTAAAACAGTCTTGGTTCTTTTCTTGAAATAATGAAATCATTGCGAAAACCTTTCATACTAGTGAGAGTTACATTAGTGTGAACGGAATCGGTCTCTAAACTAGTGAGTTAATTAAGAGTATCTGTAACAAGACAATATAAGATTTCTAAGTACTTTTCCTTTAATGTCATTACATGTGTATTTTTTTTTTTAATTTATGGGAAAATAAGAATGATAAAGATAATTATTTCACATAATCATCCCAACTATTTCAATATCTTTATTATGTGTTGAGGATTCACACACATCTATAAGTATGATATCAACTTATTTTATTTTATATATCAGTCAATTAAAAATATAATAGGTCCATAACCTTTAAATAATTAATATAAAATTATTATGTGATTTGTTGTTGAATAATAAAAGTCTTTTAGTTTATTATTAATACACACTATTTTTTTTTTCAACGATGACATGATATGTGACATTAATTATTTGTATTATGGGTTAGATTTCTGAGTGTTTTTTCTTTGACAAATTAGTGAGTTTATAAAATTACAATATATGTAAGTATATATCTATTTGACATATAGTTACACACAATTTTAGTGTTGATTTTGAATGAGATTTAACAACATATTTTGTGTGTTACTATAGTCTATACCCACACTTTTTTATAATATACCAACAAATATTATGTGGATAAAAGTAATTTTTAGTGACATATATAGTGTCTCGACAGAATCAACGATGTAGATCATATCGAATTTAAATCCGTCACTGTTCATAGGTCAGATGTGTTGTCTCCTAGTAGCATAGAAATGAACGACCCTGATCGCACCGACAGAATCAACGGTGTAGATCATCTCGAATTTAAATACGTCACTGTTCACCGGTCAGATGTGTTGTCTCCTTGTAGCAGGGGAAACGAACGGCCCTGATCGCACCCACATAATCAACGGTGTAGATCATGTATTTTGTAGACAAATGCACTGTTCATGGGTCTATAAATATACGAATGCCATTGAAAATATTTCACCATCCAACTTTTTTGCCTTTAGTTTCTTTTGTTATCTGATTTGTTGCATAGCTGCTGTGTTTGTTATTTAGTATCTGTTAAATTTTGTTTAAATCATGTCTTTCATTTGTGTAGTGTATTACAATGGTACAATTAACCAAACTGCTGAGGGTTGTTCATTTGTGGGTAGTCATAAAACAATACGTATTAGTCGTGGTATTGATGTTGAATATTTAAAGAATAAAATTCATGGAAAGTTACATCTTAATGCTAATCAAATTATCTCCAACATACAATGTAGATATTTACGTTGTCTTGATCCTGTATCATATGAAAGTGTTGATGTATGTGATGATGAAGATCTTGAGTGTATGTTTGATAGCTTTGAGAGACAATATAAAATGAATATGATTGAATTGTATGTTCATGTAGATGTGGTTGTGTCATCTTCAATTCATGTTAATGAAACTCAGGCAACCACTAGTCATCATGAATTTGAACAAACAACATCTTATCCGGTAACTAACATCCCTAATTTACAACCCAGAAATGTTCCAATCTCACCACCAATAAATCATCCTGACTCAAACATTGATTTTGAGACAAACTTGAGTGACGATGATATCAATCTGGGACAAGGTGATGAAGCCGACGATTTGAATTCATCTGATACAGAGGATGAAGAAGATGTCAATGCAAACAACAATGTCAGCGTGCAATCACCATATGAAGTTGAACCTCCCCAGCCAACTGAATCAGGTTTATTTCAAGTTCTATTAGTTTGATAAATAATATGGATATTGAGTTAACAATTTTTTCCCATGTAGGACCTTCAAATAATCCATTTTGGACAGAAACTCCACATTACAGTTATATTGACTGGAATCATCCAGATCAAGAGAGTTGGTATCGTGGTTTAGATGTCCCTAATTCTTGGAGAGTTGGCGACGAGCTATATATCGGCCTTCGTTTTCACACAAAAAATGATGTACAGATGGCTGTTAAACATTATTCTATGAATGCACATCAAACTTTTGTTGTTGTTGAGTCTGGCCAAAGGGTTTTCTCTGTCAAATGCCCTAATAGCAATGAAGGTTGTCCTTGGAAACTAAGGGCAATTATGTCTAGTAAATTGAACAACAAATGGGTCATCAAGAAATGGGGCGGGACACACACATGTATTAACCCCATGCTATCTCAAGATCACAACAAATTGGACTCTGAGTTCATATGTTGTTGTATATTAGGTTAGTGCATATTTAACTATGGAGTTAAAACTTATCATATGACTTTTTCTAACATGGTTATCATTTATTTGTAGGTATGGTTAGGGAAGATGCTTCCATTTCGATTTCTCTAATTCAAGAAAGAATTAGTGGACAATTCAACTATAAGGTGTCGTATCGGAAGGCATGGAAAGCCAAACAAAAGGCAATTGAGAGGGTTTATGGTGACTGGAGTGACTCATATGATCTTCTACCAAGGTGGTTGGACAGGATGGTTGAATGTTGTCCTGGGTCTGTGTATAAACTTGAAACCACTGAGTACGTGTCAAACAATATAGTGGATCCAAATTTCCGTCAATTTCGTCGAGTCTTTTGGACATTTAAACCAGCATGTGATGCCTTCAACTACACTAAACCCATTATACAAATAGATGGGACATTTTTGTATGGAAAGTACCGAGGCACACTACTAATCGCTACGACACAAGATGGAAATGCTCGTGTGTTACCACTTGCATTTGCAATAGTAGAAGGAGAAACACTAAGCGATTGGTCATGGTTTTTGTCTAACATTCGTCGGTATGTTACGAGAAAACAAGGTATTTGTTTAATAAGTGATCGACACCAAAGCATAAAGTCAGCAGTGGCAAATGCCCAAGGGTGGCAACCACCTCAAGCATATCATGTATATTGCATTCGACACATCGCTAGCAACTTCAACCACCGATTCAAGAATACTAAACTTAAAGAAGAATTGATTAACATAGGTACTAAACGCTTTATTGTTTTTTATATGGTGTAATGTTTACTTTAATTTTATAAATATTAATACATAAACTTCTTATATGGCAGGGTACACAACCAACAAGCATAGATTTGAAAGAAGGTTGGAAAGGTTCCGTGAGGTCAGCCCTGAAATTTGTCGTTGGATTGATGGCATTTCCCTTGAAAAATGGGCAATCGCACACGACGAAGAAGGACGTCGATATGGACACATGACAACAAATTTGTCCGAGGCAGTCAACAAAGTCCTTAAGGGTGCACGAAACTTGCCTATAACTGCGCTAGTTAAATGCACGTATGCTAGGTTGGTGGAGTATTTTATTCAAAGGTTAGGTCAGGCAAACGCTGACCTTGCTCTGGGTAAACGTTACTGTCAGAAGTTAATGGATGCTATGGAAACAAATCAACAAGAAGCAACCTCTCATTTCGTTCGCAGGTATGATTATGAGTCTACAAGATTTGAAGTTGAAGAAATCTTCAATGCAGTCACACAACGAGGTGGGAAGGTTTTCAATGTTTTTCTAAATGAAAGAAAATGTGAGTGTGGTGCTTTTCAGGCGTATAGATATCCATGTTCACATGCAATAGCAGCCTGTGCACACGTTCGTATAGATCCATTAACTTTTGTTGATGCCGCATACACTAACGAATACATCAAAGCGGCATATTCAGGTCAATGGTTCCCACTTGGAAGTGAAGAAAATATTCAACCTACTAATGGACCTCGTATAGTTCCAGATGAGACAATGATACGTACAAAGGGACGCCCAAAATCCACGCGCATTAGAAATGAAATGGATTGGACTGAATCCCAAAGGAGGCAACGATGTGGACATTGTAGGCGTGAAGGGCATAATAGAACCAATTGCCCTGTGCTGGCTGAAGATGTATTCAATAACGCATAACAAGTTTGTATGTTGCAGTGTATTTAAAGAATAAAATTCCTCCATAGTTATATCATATGTCAATTCTAGTTTAATTAAATTGTTCAGTTATACAATAAAATAATTACAACAAAGTTTACAGTAACTATTAAAACAAATACAAATTACTTCTTCAACGTATTCTCGTCTTTCTGGAGCGTGTAACCAGCGTGGTCCGGTGGCATATCAACTGTCAAAAAAATTTAATATTAGTAAAGTTAACATTTAGGTAAATAATTAAATATCAAACAATGAATTAAGTTTAAGTACTAACAACTTATTATTCAAATTACCTATTCATTTCTCCTCATGTGCTGCTCATGGGGACTTAGGATACATTGTCGTTGTCTATGGCGAGCACCACGATCTGGGTTCCTCCGAACTAACTCATCACCATCTCCCTCAGGGCTTCCAGCTTCCGCTGCTAATGCTGTATTCAAATCATGCCCTAAACCTGGATGATGGGAAGACGAACCCCCACCATAAAATCCTCCTCCCATAAATGACTGTTGTCCAAATCGATAATCTCGATAGTCCATCATAGGTGCTGATGGAGAGATCATGTCTGGAACATATGGAGAAGGTGTAAACTGGAACATACTACCACCCGACATACTCGGGACATCACCCATCGACTCCGATGCCGGGAAATTACCTGCACCAGACACTTCTGCTGTGTCAAACCCAAAAGATGTGTCATGTGCAGTACCATACACATATTGTGTCACATCTGCATCTGGGGTCAATGTACTCGGATAATATGTCCCAGTTGGTGGCTCAGTCGGAGGAACTAGTATCTATAAACCCTGGTGTTCAACTCGCCTTCGTCGACGACTTAGTCCCTTTCCTTCTCGTCGACCCGCCCCAATGTGCTCCACCTGAACTTCGTATGCTTGTGGTAATGCTGCAGCTGCAGCCGGTGTAAAAGGGAAACTGACCCTGCTCACCTCGTCTCGCAACTGCAAGCAGTTACCGATGCTCTCATGCATCATGGTAAAATCAAAGGCATCCCTATGTTCTTCACTGGTGCCATGATAAATGTGTTCTAGAACATCGGTCTATAAATAACATAACAAATATCATCAGTACACTAAATTTGAAAATATGTCACAAGTAATTATTTAAAAACATGCGTACATTTGTACTCACCACATATCCTTCCTTTGCACTAGAAGGAGAAATCCATCGCCTTGTATGTTTCCTATACCACACCATGTATTCTGAGCTATAGCTCAAGTGTGGTGTATCACACGCAGGTTGTGTCCATACACGATGATGACGTGACTGCCACTCCTGCACAAATTGAACGTGCATGCGTGACCAGTCCGTGTTATCCTTGCCTCTCAACGAAAGATCATGCAATTTCTCCGGATGAATAGGAGGCGCAGGAATGTGTTGGACCATCCCAAATTGTCGCATGACACGATCTGCATAATGATATTCGACGATGTGGAAATTAATCAACGGGACTGTTGACCTCCATACGTGTGAGTCCTCCAAACAGTAAGGAGGTAATGTAGGTAGTAACTCCAAGTATGGTTGCCATACAAACTGCAAAATAACAAAACAATTAAGTACTTACGAATTATCATTTATAATCACAATTTTTTTATCAAAATCTTCAATATAATATTCTAATAAAATACTTACATCCTCTCTTTTTAAACGGTCAAAATAGTCTCTATACTTCACAATTTTTTCTTTTGTTTCCTCTCTAGGTTTATGCAAGGCATAATTCCACCTGTTATAAAAACAAAAAAACCATCAAATCTTCAATTTCCAAATTAATTCTAAATATATTTATTCTAAAATCGATCACAAGTAATATAGTTACTAACCTTGCCCCTAGAGGAACATGAAATGTAGATAAAGGTGGATGAGGTGGTGCAATAAATGGAAACCGATACCATGCCCATAATTGCAGTAAAATACCTGACCCAGCAATTTCCTTGTGATCATAATTCGTCGCCACACACAACTCCCTGTACATATTTGCCAGGACGCATGACCCCCAACTCATTTGACCACAAACATCTAGGTCTTCGAGGAAACTCAGGTATCTGAGGGATACAAACGAGCTAGAGTGATCGGTTAATAAATATCCCCCGATCATGCGTAAAATGAACGCTCTAGTATAGCGTTCCAACTGTTCCTGGCTATGTATATGCTCAGAAACATCCGAAAAGTGCTGGTCAATCCACCTCATCCTCAATCTACCCCCAACAAGCATTGCCTCAGGGGGTGTCATGCCAAGAAGGCGCTGCACAAGAGCTCCCCAATCCATACTTGCGTATCCAGTAATGGGTGCCCCAGAGATCTTCAACCCAAGTAAAATTGCAACATCCTCCAACGTGATAGTACACTCGCCGAAGGACATGTGAAACGTGTGGGTCTCTGGTCTCCATCGCTCAACTAACGCAGATATTAAATGATTATCCACAGGAAAGTAACTAATCTGCGCCATCCCCATAAAACCAGCCCTCTGTAAAAGATCCTGAACAGCGGCTGGAATGTCACCACCACGCAACTCTGATTGTTTTTCACTCCTAACCTTCAGAACCCTATCCTCAGCTTCATTCCATATATGCTCAGATATATGGAATGGCTGAAGCCTTAATAATGAATCATCCATAGGTCCTGCATGAATAATCTGTCTAGACATCCTGATATAATTCAACAAACAAACAAATTAAATAAACTCAAACAACAATTTATTTCTAAATTTTAGAAATACCTAAATACCTAATTTAAACCCTCATAATAATTCAACATTTTGAATTGAAATCATTCATTACTGCAATGAGAACGGGTCGTTCTGGTTTCAGAACGGGCCGTTCTCATTGCACAAAAAGTGTATAAATTTGGGTTTCGGAACGGGCCGTTCCGAAAGCAGAACGGGCCGTTCTGAACCCTTCCATACTTCACTAAATGAAACAATGAGAACGGCCCCACAACGGCCCGTTCTACTTTCACAACGGCCCGTTCTACTTTCAGAACGGCCCGTTCTGAAAATAGAACGGGCCGTTCTGATTTCACAACAGCCCGTTCCACATCCAAAATAACACCCATTTACTTTATCCAGAACGGCACGTTCCAAAAATAGAACGGGCCGTTCCACACCCACAAACCAGTGACGAATATCCCTCAACATTTTCTATTTAAATTTTTTTCTTACTTTAAAATAATTAAAATTCAAAACATACCTGATAACACCGTGCAAATATACTTTTGTGGGCAAAAATCACTGGTAACACACTCGTATTCTCAAAGCGTCGGGACCTCAAGCGTTTTTCCACAAAAATAATCCTCTCCCAGCACCACCCAGCAGCACCATTTAAACACAAAAGAGGGAAGGAGGTACAGATGGCGCCTAGGGGGGAGGCGCCTTCAATGTACACAAATGGCGCCTGGGGGGAGGCGCCTTCAGTGTGTGCCACATCAGCATACTTGGCGCCTGGGGGTGGGGCGCCTTCAACGAAATTCTGCCACGTGTACAACACGCCTTCCCCCCAGCGTTTTCTATTCACCGTGCCACGTCAGCATACATGGCGCCTGGGGTGGAGGCGTCTTCTAAAAAACGCCCACCCCCAGGCAATTTCAATGCCACGTTGGCGCCTACGTGTCCAAAACTAACTATTTTGGTAATTACTTTTTTTTTATTTTTTTCGTGTATTTTTTTTATTTAGATGGGTCAAAAAGCCTATGATCATGAGGTATTACTAGTGACCATTGTGCAGTATACGTGGTTCATTCTTCATTTAGTTAATTTATTTGGAATAAGATAGATTATCTCCTATATTTAAAAATATAGCTATCTTCTTTGACCAAATCAAGCAATATGTATAAATCGGCAAAAACAATTTTATTATACACCTAAAAGTATTGAAGAAAATGACAGAGTGACTAAATCAGTTTTTTTTTAAAGATAGCTAGTATTTGATCAGAAAATTTCAAAAGTCAAAGGAATTAGAAATTAAATGAATGAGAATTTGATTATTTCAATTTTTATTTTCTAAATAACTTTATGTTAGGTGGTAATATATTTTTATTATATATATTGAGATAACACTATAACAAATATGTTGTATACAGTGACATACAAAAGATGTAATACCTCACTTTTGTCTTTTTTTTTTTCTTTTAATTATATTTTATTAAGCATGTTATGTCTTTTGGCCGAGAGGTTTTGATCAAAAGGATTGGGCCAAGAGGATTTGGTCGAGAGGATTGGATCCAGTGGTGCAACTTAACCTTTACGCCTTTTATGCTCAAGATTGGTGGACAAGTGTACCCTCTCAAATTTTTGTCAAGAGATCTTAATTAGTTGAGAGGATTAAGCTGATAAATTTTAACTAAGAGGATTTAGTCAAGTACTCCATTAATCTTACCTCTAATAGATCGAGTAATCGACCCCATAAGGGATGTTAACAAAGATTTGACTTGAAATTCGTATCTAACACAAAATCTTATCTTTATTAGTCAATATTGCATATTAATAAATAACTACCTTATCAAATTTCAAAATTCTAATGACCCATCAACCCATAGTAGTTAAGTATAAAAATTGTAACCCTAGAACAAAAATGGATATAGATTACATTCTTAAATACTTTGACTTTGGTAGCTTGCCTAGAATAAACTCTAGACATCCTTTAAACAAGAACTAAAACCAATTCAAAACTAGAAAGTAATATTATTAATTATATTCACTAACATATAAAATATGAAAATATGAGTATGAATCATTATTTAAATAAAAAAATCTTATGTGCATTAATAAAATTACACAAAAATTAACTTTTATAATAACCCTAAAAAACTTATTTAAATAAAAATTAAATATATACTATTTTAATATTTTAAAATACATTATATGTTTAAATAATTTAATTAATATAATAATTTATTTTATTTTAATTTATATTTCAATATTTTAAAAATATATGTTTATTATATTAAAACTACATTTTATAAATTTAAAAATAAAAAAACTAATACAAATAATATGTTGAGAATAAAAAAGTATGACATTTCGAAGAATAAAATTCTTCGATACCTAACTTCTCAACACAATAAAAAAAAAGGTATGACATTGTGAAGAATAAATTTAAGGAGATGGCATTATGATGATTAAATACTAAAGTTGTGACAATTTTAAAAAAAATCACAAAAAGATTGCTATGATAATAACATATTTAACATGAATCTACACTAAATAATAAAGAATTACATACAATTGAATACTTAATCATAGTTGTAATAATCAAAATTCAAATAACAAACACGTTTACAATTTTAAGGTAGTATCATTGTACTTCAACCACTCACAATTTTCCTATGTAACACTCATGTTAGTCTTCAGTAATAATTTTTTTCTACATGTATTTTATGTTTATCTTCATCTTGTAATACTCATCTTCAAAATCTCTTTCACATCACTTAAAATAATTACAAACTTTCTATCTACAAGTGTAAAAAGGACAATTGGAATTCGCTTCCATTCCACTACATCTAATTTCCACCGAACTTCCACAATGGCACAATGACAATATTTTGTCTGACGCTACTTTTGATTGTGAAATTTTATCAAACATCTTGGAAACATTATAAATGCATCATTTTTTTTTTGACAAAGAATATTAATATAGAAGCAAAACAGTACATAAAATGTAACAAATAGAAGATTTCAATCCTATACTATGCTTGGACTGCAAAATGAAAGCTGTTGCGTTTGTTGTAATCAAAGAAATTAAATAGTTGAATTATATAGGAAAACAACAAAAATTAAAAATAAATTACAAAGTAATTGCTAAAAAATGGATAAAAGACATACTAATTTAGCATCTAAGGACTAATTAACTTACAATTTTTTAAAATAAAAAATAATGCATATAATACACAAACTATGTTTACGCTAGAAAATGAAAGTTATTGATTATGCTTACTACAAACATAGAAATATGGGACTGAACATAGGTGAACAACAAAAATGATAAAAAAAAATAAGAAGCAAATTACAAAAGTAATTTACTGAAGAAAAAAAATGAACAAAAGACATGCCAAATTACCAGGTAAACATCTTTAAGAGCTAATCTACGTACAATATTTTTTAGCTAAGAGTAATAATATAGAACCAAAAAAATTGCATATAGAACATATACAAAAGATTTCAATCCCCCTACTATGCTTGAGTTACAAAACAAAAACTACTAACCGAGCTTGTTACAAAGAAAAGTAAGGGGGTGTATTGGTTTAGGATTTCGTAGGATTTTAAAAGACTTTTTTTGAGTAAAAAAGTCCATTGGTATTCAATCAGGATTTTATGTCACTTAAAAACAATCCAGTGGTATTCAATCTGGACTTTTAGGATTTTTTAAAGAGTCCATTAAAATCCACTGGTATTCATTTGAGATTTTTTACAACTTAAAAACAATCCATTGGTATTCAAAAATTTAAGGATTTTAAAGGATTGTTGTGTGAGAGGGATTTTGAAAGACTTTCTAGTGTTATCTATAAATACCAGATTCATAAAACAATCCCATCCAAACCCATCGGATTTTGAAGGATTGTTTGAAATGATTTTTCAAGTGTTTTAAGAATTTTCAAGTGAGTTTTTCATCTTTTTTTTCTATGCTCCTGTCTTCTCCATTTTTTCTCTACTAATAATACTACACTATTGTTCATTGCTCATATATAATACTATTCTCATACCATTCTCCTATTTTGTGAAACTCTAATATGTAAATGATAGTGTCATTGACTTGTTTTATTTTTCTGTTCGTTCTCTTTAATTGACTTACTTTATTTTATTCTATGTAGTTGAATTTGTTCCTTTATATAACACAAAAAAATACTTGAAATTTTAACTTTTAAGTGGTAATTTTTTTTATGACACACGTTAAGAAAAGAAAAAGGTGAAAGATGAAATTGATATCATAATCTCAACAATATATATATATATATATATATATATAAA